CGCTGCGGGACGGGCGGAGAGCGGGGCACGCTGCCGGGGCTCGGCCGCCGCAGGGTGGGCGCGAGTGCACGGGAGGGCACGGGAGCTGCGCTGCTTCTGGGGTCGCCTCTCAGCCTCCGTAACGGGGCGCTCCTGGGAAGTTTCACCTGTCCGCGGCTGCCCGGTGGCCGGGACGGCCCGAGGTGGCGACGGCCGCCGCCGGAGCCCCTGTGCCTCGGTTCCTTGCCTTTCGTGGGCAAGCGTGCTGGGATGCAGGTGAACGCCTGCTTCCGTCTTTGAAGTTTGCCTGGGAGCTTTGCTTAACTTGGCTTTTTCTTAAGGATTCTTGATCTGAGAGAAGTGTGGGTCATCCCCCTGAGCTCTGGAGCTTCCTCCGCTGGAAAGTCTGGTCCCTCGCTGACACCATGTGTTACATGCTTTCCCTTTGCTGCCTGGCGTTTACTCAAAACGAAAGGCAACGAGTGCCTTGCCGTTTTTCTGTTTGCACCTCAGCTTTCTCTTTATGCATGTGATTGCCTGCATTCCCCATTTTTCTCCCAACTTACAGCTGTTCTCTGGAGATGTTGGGTTTTCAGTCAAGCTGGTTTTTCCTTGGAGGTGTAAAAGATTTTGTTTTCACTGGAGCAACGCATGAATTGGCCATTCAGTGTAATTAGTAAAAGCTAAATAGAGACTCACAGTTTCTGTTTGCGTGGGTAGGATTCTTTCACCGTAGATTTTTGTCCTTGCCTTAATTTAAAGAGGGGGCATTGGCGGGGGTGGTTGTAAGTAGCCGTACAGGCCTGGAGTAAGCTGAGGCAATTACAGCCTGCTTGGTTCCGGAGTTAGACAGAAGGCACATCCCTCTTTCCTAGCCAGGCTGGCGAGGCATGGGGGACACAGGTAGCTGTGGCCCCGGCATGTGCTGGGAGCAGGGGCTGTCCTCCCCTGTGTCTGTGCAATATTTGCTTCCTTTGTTACTCAAGATTTTTTCATGACTTGCTGGTGTCCCTTCCTCTTGTTCAGCCTGGGTGTAACCAGGTTTTGATTTCTACCGAAAGCTGTCTGTATTCTTAGGAGATAAACAGAAGTTTAAAATTTTGGGGTACAACTGTGTAAAAACAGAGGTGAAAATGAATGTGTGAGGTAGAATTGTCAGTGATACCTATATTTCTTAGTTTGGGCTCCTTCCTCTCAGACGTAAAGGAACTGATGAAATTATTCAGAATTTACTTTATATAAATTTGCAAAGAAAAAATACCTTCCACTGACTGCAAATTGTTTCACACAACTTAAAACTTACTAAAATGAACTGTTGTTTTAATATTAAATGAAAAGAAACAAGTGTGCTTAGTTATAAATACCTATGTTCCTAACAAACCTTTTAAGATACAGCTGTAATATACTTCTGACTAGTCATTTTGTGATACCTCTATTTCTTTATCAAGGAGACTTCATGTACTGTATGGTACTGCTCACTTCCACTGTTGAAATACTTTATGAAATACCTTCACAGCTTGTCATTCCATTCATTACTGTATGAAGCAGAAAAAAAATACCCTAAAAATTATTGCTCATAAATGTTGATGCTACACTTGCCTTTCTCCTGAATTAGGGGTTTGGGACATTGGGTTATTTTTGACTGGCCCTCTGGGCAAGCGAAGTTAGTTTTCCTTGGGTTGTTTTACTTTCAGAAGTTGTGGCTGTGTGAGGTGGCCCATTTTATGGTTATTCGTGGCACCAGAGGTAAATCCTAGACAATCCAAAATGCACTGACTATATACAGTTCCAAATTACATGAGAAGATTTAAACCAGCTGTGTGCTCTCAGGAAAGCGTGCTAGGACAATTACAGTGAAGCACGCCCTGCTTCAATTAGACAGTATTTGTCCATTTTAAGGTTAAGCAAGTAATGAAACATGCATGTTATGTGCAGAGTAGCATTTCTTAAGCAGTGTCATCTTCTTCTGGTATGGAATACACTTGAAGGCAGATACACACTTTATTTAATGAACTATCTCCACGAGAAGAGAGTCTTGTTACAGGGATATGATTGGTCACCAAGACAAAGTGACCCAAAGTGAAGGCTGATACTGTCAGCTGTACCTTGCTGTCACAGTATGGCAGCTCTGGCATTTACATCAGAGAGGATTTGCAATGATTCTAGAAGATGCAAAGTAATCCAAATTTCTTTCAGTTATTTACATGATGAAGAAATACTGGGAGAAAGTTTTGATTTTTATGTATTAGTTTATTTAATATTGCTTTAAGTAAAAATAATCCAATAAAAAAGGAGAGGAGGATCTAAATGAACACATATGTGTTCATAGTAATAACTTTAACACAAAGTGCCTCGGGCCTTCTTTCATAAGAGCATAATTTAACATTTTTTCAGTGTACAATCTGTGTAACTCATTGCAGTTGTAAATTGTGACCATGGAAATCAACTACATTTCAAATGCTGCAGTTTAAATGTTGGCAATGCATATTGTTGCTAAGTTTCATCACTTGTTTCACTGTTCAAGTGCGCACTAAAAAATATTTAACCTAGAGACATTTCTGAAGTATCCTTAGACTGAGAACTTTACCTGGATGTAGTAGTTTGGTAATTTTCCTTTAGATGCATGCACTCAATGCATCTAAAAAATAGATTCAGGAATATATATGTAATTAATATTATTACAACCATTCTGGAAAAATTTTAGGGAATAAAATATTTTAATATAACAGGAAGTATCGGTTGAATTCTGGCTACTGGATTTAGGGACTTCTGCAGCATCCTCCTGTGCCCTCAAGTTAGTAGGATTTGGGTAATTTGCATACAGGTCTTGAACCTAAAGTTGTAGGTTTTCAGTAGGTGGCAGCCTTACCTCTGCATCAGTTGATGTCTGGCTGCGGGGTGTTGGTGTGAGGGAGAAAAGGAGTTGCGAGTAATGCAGGATGGTTTTGGTGAAGTGTATGATACTGGTTTGGTAGTTATAGGGCCTTTTGCAATGACAGCACATTTTAGAAATTACTACATATTACCAGCTTTGTTAATTTAGCTTAATTAATGTCCCATTGCAGGTTAGCTTGTGTTTAGTCTGTTGTATATTTACAAAATAATACTGATTTATGTACAGCAGTAATGTTGCTGTGTTTCTTACTAAGGACAGTGATCCAGTTGTTATCAGAACTTACAGCCCCAGAAAAGCACAACTCAGCAATTCCTGGAAAGCTTACAGTCTCACATATTCACCATTTTGTGCCTTGAAGGGCTGTGGTCAGGTATTCTGAGCATGGGTATTTAATAGATAAACAGATTTCTGTATAATGTTGTCCTGTGCACACCTGAGTTGCAAGACATTTTTTGTGGTAGATTTTTATATCCAAGAACTTTGATATATTTGTGATTAACAGCTGTGTTTGAACTCAGCTGAATATCGCTCTGGCATCTAGAAGGGAGCACTATGGACGATAATGGAAAGATGTGGAGATAAAAATAAGTTTCAGTCCTGACACCTTAAATTGTGCTTCTAGTGTTTTGGACTTCTCTGTCCCATTTATGTGATCCTCTTGGCTAGTACCACTGCAACTTAAGTGTGCTAGCTCACCAGGTATTCAGTGGTCATCACCCAAAGCTTACTGTATTTATTTTTTAAGGTTTGACAAAAAGTTATAAGACTGATGGACAGGGTAAGACAATAGGGGTGTTTTGGATGTGTGCATGCAAAAGTTTCATGAAGTGTTGGGGAAATGTTGTATTTGTATACCATTAAACTCCAGAATTACCTGCTTAAAAATCTTTAGCATCAGCAGGAGGCCAAAGATATCTGCTAAGCCAGTATTGCAGGTTATGAACTGAGTGAAGGCTTAAAATATAACACCTAATTCTTAGTTTACTACTAGAAATGTGGAAGTTAGAAGTGCAGAATCTTCCTCACAAACATGATGAAGTTTTTGTCCAGATTCACAGTTTGGAGTTTATTGTAGTTCTTGGAACTACTGATATATTGGAATATGTATATTTAAGCTCTTAATTTGCATATTCAACTATTACAGATAGCTGTCTTCTAGGTTTTTTTTCTGTTACGGTTTATTTTCATTAGAAAGCTAATAGGTAGTTGCTAATTTTTGTTGTGAATACAAGGATATATTGCTGATGCTTGGGGTGTAAATTACTTAAACTGGAGTTAGCCTTGACATAATTGTGTGTTTTCTATATTGCATTACAGAGATGGTGAACTGAGTTTGAGTAGATCAGTGATCAATAGCTCTGATAAGGTAATTCGAAAGGGTGGCTCCTCAATCTTCCAACATGCTCCAGAAGGTTGGAAAGTCAATTCATCTTTGGTGATGGAAATAAGGTGAGTTTCTGAAATAAAAAAAAGCTGTTAATTTCACCTTGCCTTTAATTCTTTTCATTCATGTTGTTTTATAATTCCTTTGGTCTATAAAACAGTAATTTGATTTACATTTGCAGGTAGATGTTTTTAAACTGTGTCTATTTAGGTTTCAGTGTTAAATACAACTGCAGTACATTAGGCTTCAAAGTGAAGTCTTCCTTCATAAGAATTAATGTTTTTATTTCATCTGGCTGTGACTGTCAGATCTGGGCAATCAGTCTGTATTATTCATGTCCATATTTAAGCTGGTTGTCTAGAGCTCTTCCGCATTCAATGGTAAGAAACTGTCGCTTTTAGGATGTCATTTTCTGTCATCTTAAATGTTTGAAATAGATCAGGTGGAGGTATCCTAGGCATACAAATTTTCCTCCCTTGACTACAGAAGGAGCTTAGGCAGAAAGCTGAGGTGCAGTAGTCAATAGCTGGGCCATCAATTGTGAATCCACTTGTGGCTCTGGCTGGTCCACATCACAGGGTGAAACGCTGACAGTAGTTGTGTCTTACGCAGTTTCCTTTCTTGATGTCAGAAAGGCTGAAAAGAGCATTAGGCTTATGCTGGGGGCTGGGGGGGGCAGCCCAGTGGCAGAGTTAAACTGAGTGATAGTTTCTGATGTGTCTTTACGGTGTATCTCTGCAACTTGTGGCCACAGAGAGTAGCAAGGTGTCTCTGAGTGTGTCCTGTCGTATTTTCCCCATCTTCATCAGGAAGGTGGCCCATGAGAGAAGCATATGGAGCATGGATTGTCAGTGTGGTGATCTAGGAGTGTTGCATTATATGAAAAATGAGGGAAAGTTACTTTTTAACTCACGCTAGATTAGACTCGATTTTCTGAATATTAAGACTTTGAGCAGTAATGTGTTCAAATTAAAATGCGGTTTCTGTGTGATTTCCCTTTCTACTTTGAATTTTTTTTATTTTAATTTTTTTTTTTTTTAATTAAAGGACAGTTTACAAACCCCTTAAGCAGGCATTGTTTCCATGTATAAAGGCATGGCTTCTCTGAAGGAGAAATCTAGGGATTTTTTTAATGACTGCTATTTTGTCCCTAATTCTAAAGCCTGCAGAAGATAAAGGTAGATCAGAAATGTATGTATCATAAGTTACTGGTCCAAAAGCTTGGAGAAAACAGCTTTTTCTACCTGTGGAGTAAGCTGATTTGGAAATGAGTGAGTTTATAATAAGTAGAGACAACTATTCTCAGTCATTTTACTGAAAAATTGAGTATCATATTTCAGAACAATTTAAAACCTTTACATATTGCTGCTCCAGCGAAACAACAAACTAGAAAAAATATTAAAATAACCTCTTGGTTAAAATTTAGAGAGAAAATTAAGCTTGGGTTATGCCAATTTTACACCTGTTCCAAATTTAAAATACATTATTCAGAGGTAAAGCAGTGGAGAATGCTTTAGTGTTTTTCATCCTGTTAATACATGTGTGTCATCTCAATCTGCTAAATTAATGAGTTTCAAAGTAACTTTTTTCTTTATTGTTTTCCAGAGGGGGAAATTTCTCTTATTTAATAAATTACTATTGTGTACTTAAGAAACACTTCTATATATAGGGTTTTTTAAAATATTTTGCAGGGAAGGATTTTTTTTTTTTTGCCTCATTAGAATGAGGAAAACAGTGTGTCTTGTACACTGGCTAAAGTGCTGCAAGTAGAGGTTCCACTGTAATTCTTCCACTGTAAGATTTTCTGTACCATAGAGAGCATAAAGCTGAGGTTATTTAGCAGTCCACATTGCCAGTCTTGTTTTCAGAGGAACACTAGGGCAGAAAGTAGGTGTGAACCAGAAAATTATTTTAGATTAATGTGACTTAGAGCCAAAAGTTGACATGAACTCTACAGAAGGAGTCAGTGCTAAGTGCCAGGCATAGTCTTTCCAGAAATCCTCTTTGCTGACATGCGTAGCATATTCAGTTATGGTACTCAGTGGTGAGGGAGGGATATCAGCCGTGCTTTTCATTGAGGAAGCTGCATGCAATTCCTTGAAATGTCTTTCAGTCTGATGCTGATTAAATCATGTACATTCTCTCACTTTTACAGATGGTTTGCTATACACCTTTCGTCCGTGGTACAGCAGTAAGAAGCATTTTAGCTGTAGCTTTACACCTATACATCTATCAGGACTAACTTTAAAAGTGTCTAGCAAAGTCATACAGTATTCTTGTGGTCTAACTAACTGCTCAGCTCTCCATGTTACATGCACTGTGTAGACCATGAAGATGATTCATAGTCTATAATTGGAGCTGTTAACGTGAACAGTGGTTGGTGGTCTTGTGGTGTGAGGTTGACCATAGGAAGTAACAGTAAGAGTGAAACAAAATACAAGCTAGTGCCCGTTGAATAATATATAAAATGTTTTCAGTTCCAAGCAGTGGAGAAATAATTTGTGAAGCCATTAGTGTGCATCATAAAGATATTTCATAAAACTTCTACTCACCCATAAATGACAGATGGTGTTGTGTTGTACATCAGCTTGGCACCCACTTGAGCAATTTTCAAATGTAGAAAGTATATTATAGTGACTTTAGCTTTGTGCAAGGACTGTTGGTTAGTGATGAGTCAAATCTTGTTGATTGCATCTAGAATATTATACTTCACTATTGCTTTGTTGACTTTGTAGGGTCATCATCGCTGGCCTTTTATTTTTGCTCAAGTTAGTGATGTGTTTTTCAGCCTCAAAGGCCTTAGGAATTTTCAGCAAGGCCAGGCTCAGACAGGAGTCAGTGGGTGGTAATTCTCTTCTCTGTCAGGAACCATGAAAGGATGGAAATCTTCCAGTGGGTTTCTGATGGTCTAGGACTTTGAAGCCGGAGAAGGCAGCCTGTGGAGTGTAGCAACCCTCTCGGGAGGGCAGCAGCTCTTTGGAGATCCTAAGCAGGCTTAAGAAGAAAGAGCTAGACTTTCTGTGCTTGAGGTGGAAATTAAGTGTGTTACTAATTACTTGAGACTGTGAAATGTGCTGCCTTGACAATGACTGATTTAGTGGGAGAGTGATTTTTGCAACTGATACCTTCTCATTGCTGGCAACTTCTTTGAAGAATTGATAATTCCTGTGGCAAAGAGAGGAGCACCTTCTTGGCTCCCCTTTTCTATCTGAATTATTTCAATCATGAAGAGTCCACCACCTGCTATGGTTTTATGTCTTGCGTCCTTTCTACTCTCTGTAGCAGTGTGGAGGTTTTCCTTATGCTTATGGAAGTAAGGAGACTTCATGTGTAATGAAGGCTGTATTTTCAGAAAGTAGGGATGTGGCTGAGATGGGTGCAAACCTATATGGGGAGGCCTTGCACACAGGGCTGACAACAGCATGTCTGTGACCTGTGTGAAATGAACCACAGTTCAATGTCTGTCACTTTCTTCTACTTACTTTTAAATAAATATGTTAATTTATGCAGAAAGAAGCATAAGGTGGTTATGAATTGCAGGAAGGAGAAATTTTTGAAAAGTACATTGGGAATGTATTCATCTCTGCAATTTAACAGAATATTTTCTGTCAGAAAAGTGTACAGAGAACTTCTCTTGTTCAAAATGTCAGCAGCATCTTAAAAAAAAAACCACCTTCCTCCTTCAAAAGGTTCAGATTATTATCAATTTTTGTCTTACAAGTTAGTGTGAAACAGCTGTGGTAAGTCCCTGAAGTGCAAGCAGTAAATACAGAACCAGCAGTGGAGCACTGCAATTGCTCTGAAGCTTTTGGAGCAATGTTTGGAAGCCATTTGCACTGTTTCCTTCTGATTGTTTTTGTGTCAAAGACATGGAATCTGGGGTTCTCTGGTCTGGTTTAGTCATAATAAACCTCAGGGGATTTTTGCTTGCCAATCTATTTTACTCTGCCTTGCTTATCTTCATGAAATGCTGGTATATGGATGACCTTCCTGTGATAAGCAGTAGTTGAGTCATTGTCTGTTTGTAAGCCCTCATCCTTCTTCATGCCCACTCTCTTATGTTACAGCACTTCTGGTTGTGTTGCCCCCATCAGCTGGGAGCTCCTAGGAACTCTTCCAGGGCTATTTCCAGTTATGTATGTTTCTAACAAATCCAAATTAGTGGTTGAACTAGATGATCTTTCAAGTCCCCTTCCAACACAAACTATCCATGATTCTAAAGGCTGCTTTCCTGGAAGAGCTTTTCTAAAAACCTCCTTTTAGACTAAAGTAAAACCCAGCACATAACTGTGCAAATATCTGTGGTCCCCACTGCCTTCTCAAAAAAAAACAACAGGAGCTGGAGCTTTAGTCATGTACAAGAGCAAGTTGTGACCTTTTGTTACCATAGAGCTTGTTATTTCCTGTTGTTTTTAATTAAACTAATTTAGCTGTCAAAAAAATAAAAAAAAAGTTTTATCTAGGCCATAGTCAATCCCTGGTGATTCTGAAGGCTGAGAGCCACCTTCTGCCTTCCAGCTGCAGAGTGCAAAGCAGAGTCAGGACTTGCTAGGGTTAGAAAGTAGAGTTGTTTATGAAGGCCAGTCTGGGAGAGTCTGCAGATTAAGAGGAGGGATTAGAAATCTACAGCATAGAAGTTTTTTTAAAAAGTTGAGTGTTTTTTTATCCTCAGGTAAATTAAGGATATTGCTAAGAGTAAGGTGTAGTCCTAATGAAGGCATAAGGAACCAAAGCATCCTCAGCTGCTGTGGAAAAGGTCTGAGGAATACTGTGCTTCCAGTAAGGCCAGGGAAGGTGATGGAGGTGCGTGGGGAGGGTGTCAAGTCCCCACCGCAAGGGATTTTTAGGAACATATTAGATAAACATGGGCTGGGGAACATGTAGATAAAGGCATATCTTAAGTGGGCCTTCAGAGGAACAATTAAACACTTAGTGCATCTCTGTTCCATAATGGGATTGCTGGTGATCCCTCCTGGGCACTTCGGATGCACTCCAGAGGCTTCCCCTCACGCCTGGGGTCCACTCAAGTCCACAGCAGTGATTTATGGCACTCCCTTCCTCTACAGAAATGATTTTTCCCAGAAAAAGCATCGGAGGTCATATTTCAGTTTTCTTGAGAATGTCTAAAAATATACATGTTTTTGTGATCTTAAAAGTTAAGTCTTCTCATGGTCTATTTTCTGTTGTTCATTCACACAGTTCAGAGGCAGATGAAGAACAGTTTGAGATTATATAATAGTTTTGTGGTACAAAGACCACAGTACAAAATAAAACTTGAAACATGCATCATGAGAAAAATCTCACCATGTTGCCCCAGAGCAGTAAATAGTATTAACATTTGGCAGGCTATTCAGAGACCTTGCTGTTGCATGATCTCATCAGATAACCAGGAGTTTCAGTTGGTACTTAAATATTATGGAGATCTCTTTGCTTATCAGAGAAAAACCATAGGTCAGCCACAGATAATGACACTGTGGTTTTTTTGCGTCATTTAAGCATGTTCCAAGCAGCTGCTTGGCTACAATTAGTCTCACCTACCCATAAAATGGCTCAGATCACACCCTGATACAGTTCTATTTGTCATTAAAAACTTGAAGAACAACCTCAAATGAAACTGTTTGCTTACACATTTTAGCTTAGGGTTGCAGAGCACCATTCTTCAAGGTTTGCTAAAAATCTTGCTCTTCTTTCCCTTGGTGGAACCGAGCTTACTTTTGAATTTAATATACAGCCTGAAATGGATTAATTCTTACTTGTCATTATTTTGTCATGTCTGTTTAATCAGAATAACCTTATTGTGCTATTTTTTAGTGCTCTTTGTGGGACAGAACAGAGGTTTAAATAAGTTATTATTAATCAGCATCAGGAGTGACTGAGAGACTCGTATTTATGCTCAGTATTTGTTATATCCCTCAGTAATATTTTTTTCTCTTAGCACTTATGTGAAAATTGGAAGGACTGGTGTCCCCATGGTATGGGTGAGTCAGTAGCACAGAGGGACTTAGAACAATAACATGGATTCTGCATTATTTATCATACTACTTTCAGTATTAAAAGAAACCTGGATACAGGCAAATGAATCAGTAAAAATATGCTAATGTTAGCATTATTACATATCTCTTATACAAGGATTCTATTGCGTATTGCAATACCTGGGTGCACATTTAACTAAATATGCTAATGACAACTTCAGATAAGAAAATATTTTTAAATATGTGAGAAGATGCTAAGATTAGTGACTTCTGACTGTTTCAGCATTTTATTGAAAAATAGATTCCTTACACATTTTGGAAATTTCAGCTGTGTTAAATGAGTGGTCGATTATCTGATTCTAATTCAGGTCCACATGAAATTCTTTGGAGGACTTCTAGGATCATATAGATAAATAAGCTTTGAATGCACTCAGCCAAATGAATTATGGAAGATAAGGTGATTTTGCTTGTTATATAGTTTCTGTACATTTCACATAATTTTCTGAGGTTTTGAGACTTGTTTGTGGTCATCCCTTCTCAAGTCAGAGTTCATGTGAAATGAGTCTCCTGATAGCTTGACTGATCATGTTTGTAGCTTTTGATGCATTCATACTGTCCTTTATAGCCCCAGCTGTAGTAGCTCTCTCCCTGTGTAATGAATAATTGCAGTAATTTTTAATATTTTTAGATTGGGCAGCTCTTTCTTTCTTGCTCTTTTTTGTTTTGTATCAATAATCAATCAGCTGATCTATTTGTTGCAGAGTGCCCACAAAGTTAAGCTGTCAAACCCACAGAGATTTAAAATCCATTCAATTTAAAAGCCAAAACTAAGTCTTCATCCTCCTTTTACAGAAATACCTTGCTTGGGCTTACCAAAAGCTACACTCAGGATTTTAAGATTCTCTGTCTTGTTTTATTTTTCTGAGTCTCTCATGTGCCTCAGCATAAGTTGTTTTTGCTCTGATGCTGCTCCCTTCATATGTGACAGCTGTAACAGCCCAACATATTCCAGATATTCTTTCCCTTTTTTTTTTTTTTTTTTTTTTTTTTTGCCAAGTTTAGGAAGCAGGAATTACTTATAAACACTTTTTATTATGTTTCACTTCTCCTGTGCCTTTTCAGATAAGTTTTATGGTGAGTATTTTGTGTTGCTGGTTCCAAGATTCAGACAAATTCCTCTTTCTTGAGACAGCAACAAAAGTGAGCATGGGTGTTTCTATAGTCCATCCTTTTTAATATGTGGGGAATTGTTTTGCCTTTATGGCTGTGACTGAGTGTTGCAACTGATCAAAGAACATTTCTAGTTATCTTTTCCTGTTTGGTTGTGCTCTAGGGAAGTTTGTCTCTAAAAGCTTAATATGCAAAAATAACATTCTTGTAGTCAACAAAATACCCATTTTGTTTTAAACTCCATCTTACCTACTGACAACAGTGAAAAATATAATGTTTTGTTTTTCTTCTTTTCTTGTTAGACTTGCAGAGGCAAAAGTTTCTGGTAGATTTAAAAATAAAAGCCCCAACTCAACACTCCCTGTCTGGTCCATAAGAATGTTGTACTTGCTTCAGATGTGATCTTTCTTCACAAAAATACCTGCTTCGCAGAGGGACACAAGCTTGTAAAGCTTTGCTCACTTTTAGTCCTGCGGTATCAGTGGCTCCCACAGGTCTGGCCTAGGCATTTTTTCAGCTTTTTATGTCAAGGGTGTACTGAAAACTGCTCTACACTGCCAGTGCAGGTATTTGTCATTGCATACATTAGTCATTACATTGCAGTCGTTAAATATCTCTTCTGAGCCTACATACTGAACATCTGCTAGTTTTTGGACTCCAGTACCCACCTTGTCATGGGCAGAATGGAAGTTTTGGAGAGAGTTTATTAGAGAATCTGTCACACTGAGTTATGAGGTACAGAACTTGTTTTCTATACCCCTTGCATGTTAAGCTCCTTCTCAGAGAGGAGTCAAAGTATGATTGGATCTAATCTTAACCACAGACTTGGTCAACAGTTTATGTTTAAAGGATTGTGCAAGTGCAATTGAACCTTTATGCAATTTTGTCCCACAAGATTAAGGATGGCAAACCAAATACACTTAAGTTATTAAAGTAAATTATTTATTGATGATCGTAATGATAATAATTAGACTAAAAGATTTATATTTAATACATGCTACAGTTATAAGTTCTGGTATAGTGCAATGTTTACTGAAGCCATACTGAAGCACAGTATTTAAAGCTAGCAAAATAATCAAGTCGATACTGACGGTACTTACCCATACCAGTGACCATGGGCAAGTCTCTTTTAGTCAGCTTTAAGTTGTAACCTTGAAAGGGATTCCCAGTCAGGGAAGGAAGCTGCACACACATTCCAGCCAAGGAGGAGTGTGTCACAATTCTCTGCCATTAGGAAAGGGTCCCTGGCTTTTGTATTATTTTGTATTACAAAGTGATTGACAGTCAGCTCAGCAGCTTTACATCAGTCACCAGTAATGTCCCTTGTTGGTTCCATTATCAGGAGCTGTGCTGAATCCTCACCAGTGCCAGTTTCTATTAAGGACTGTTCTACACAGAATTGAGTGTTTAACTTTGGGCGTGATGCGTCGGGCTGGTCTCAGCATTCTTCAACACCAAAAGCAGGGTGAAGTCTCCTTTCCCATCAGCACTGGAAACTTTTGCAAGTAGAGGCAAGGTTGAGGTGCTTCACCTTCACCTAGGCAGAAGATCCTGGTGACCCCATGAGCAGAAAGCATGAGTTCACTTTTCAGCTGATACAGAAGCAAACATTCTTTATCAGTTGCTTGCTTGGGCCTGGGAATATTCAGCTGTTCAACTTCACTTAATACATGGCGGTTTTTTAAACCCTCATATTTGGTCATGGGTGTCTAAACCTGTCTAATAGTTTAAACAATTATTTGCATAAAATATGATAAATGTTGAAAAGTGAATTGATGAGTTTGTAGGAGAATTTGAGTTCAGCTAACAGCTTATCTGGACCCTGAGCTGCAGTTGTTTCATTTGCAAGATGTTTTAAGCTGATTTTGTTTAAATTGGTACAAAAGACTGGGTGTGTTCTCATATCAAGTTAATTAGGATTGCCTTAGCTAAACTTCTGTTAATTAGGAGGAAGTTTATTCTAAACTGAATATATTACTTTTATGGTGAAATAGGAATCTATAAGAAAACATGGCCATTCCTGAGGCAGGCAGATTTGTAAGAGATTACATTTCCTGATCACAAATACTTCATGTATTTAAATTTGGTTTTAAAAATATCATAATTCCAAAATTTTTGAAGATACTCAAGCACAGTATGCCTTCAAATTTTCAGTTACTTTTTTCCTTTGTGTCTCTCTGCCTTTGTGTCATTAACCTCTAGTTCTGTAGTGTTTTTGTGTTAGATTGCAACCACGGTGTGAACTCCATAAAAGCTTTGCTCCAGCTCCATCCTAGGGCATGGGAAGTTACCCTGGCAGGACTGACACTGGCTACCCTCTGCTTTATGTTGTACACTTTGTATAGTCTGTATTGCTGTTAGATAAACTCCATTCGAGGAGGAAGTGTTGGGTTTTACCTCTGCCTTTTTCTGTCAATGCAGGAAGAATATTCTTCAGTTCTTGGATGCAGAAAGAGATGTCTCGGTGGTCAAAAGCAACTTCAAGCCAGGAGATGTAATTCATTACGTACTGGACAGACGTCGCACTCTAAACATTTCTCAGGATTTGCACAGCCTTCTCCCTGAAGTTTCCCCGATGAAAAATCGCCGATTTAAAACCTGTGCAGTTGTTGGGAATTCTGGCATCCTTCTGAAGAGTGGTTGTGGAAAAGAGATTGATAGCCATGATTTCATAATAAGGTGGGTTTTTATCTGCTGTTGAATATATGCAGCCTATGTTTCTTGGAGAAAACTTGGGAGAAATGTTTTGATCTGAGGTATGTATTACAGGCATTATTTGAAATTAATCTGAAACAATATCCATCAACATGTGATTCCAAAAATTTAAATTCATGCCTATATTATTGACAAGAAGATTATTTTTACAGTGAAAATAAAACAAGTGAGAAAGGTTTGCATTACTTAATTTTGCTTTTTGCTGTTCTTATTCCAGACAGAATTATTCTTATTGAGGTCTTGGTAGAATAAATGCAAAATAGTTTCTCTTTTAAAAATACTCTTTCATAGTTTTTGGTCAGCACAGATGGCCTTTTTTAAATTACTACATTACTTTTGTGTAGTATGTAGTAAAATTTCAATGTGGTGTATTGATGTTAACCCAGGATGCTGCTGAGGTAGTTGGAAGTCATCCTATTATATTCGTTTATGTTGGTTTAAGAATCTGTTCTTGCAGTTTGGGGGAAAAAATGGTATGTTTCACTTCTTATTCATTCTGCAAACACACACAGTAGAGGGCCTTTGGATTTCATGTGTCATGTCAAAGCTGACCTCATTTGACATCTTGTCATTATGTAGAAAATGCTGAACAAGAGATGGGTAATTTTGCTGAAGCAAAGTTTCAATTGATTTAGTTTGAGAAGGTTAAAAGGGCAGAAAACAGGAGGGTTGTGACACAAAGCAATATAGAAATAGTAGTCCTTGTGAATTATTTGCTTTTTTTTTTTTCACCTTTAACAATGATGGTGACAATAAGTAGTAAAAAGAATGAATAAAATTAAATGGGAAAGAAAAATAACAGTTTTTCTGTGCATAAATAAAAGAGGAATATGCATGAGTTTTGTATTTAATTTGAAAGTTATTTTAACAAGTTGCAGCTGAAGCAGTAACACACTTCTCTTTCATTTTCCATATTAGTTTTACTTGTACCACTAGTTACTCAAATTAACATCCTTATTACTTCAGAATAAATCCAATAGTAATTACCACAGTTTTAAACTGCATTTAGCCTATGGCATGCTTTTGTACTCTCTCTGAGATTAAATGTGATCTTTTTAACAGGATGTCTTGGTTTTTGGACAAATTTACGAGGAAACCTTCTGAAAGGGCATTTGTTTTAATGAAGAGCAGATTTTAGCAACTTCTTTTTTTATGGGGTCTTACAGGTTAGAAAGGATTTTTCTTGGAGAAAGTGAAAAAATTATTTAACAAGCAAGTTGTTTTCAGGTATGAAGAAAACTAATAACGTTAAATGATACTACTTTTTTTTGCTTTGAAGAGATTGAGGGTTTTTTCTGTAGGTGTGGTTCAGTCATTTTCCAAGTCTGGAGCTGGCCTCTGGGCCACAATACAGCGTGGGGGGCCCCTGGGCGAAATTTCAGTGTTCTGGATTGGAGAAGAGTACAGTTCCAGGAAAATCTTCTGCTTCAGTTAACAAACAAAAAGCTATCTTAAAAAGCAAAGAGGCTACTCAGTTTCCTTTTTCTGGAGAGAAAAAGCTGAGAGTTGGGAGAAACTGAGAGTTTTATCTCTGTTTTTAAACACAGGCGGTGAAAAAATTGTATCGCTTCTCTTTCCTCTTCCTCTCTCTCTGGGCTTACCTTAAAGCCATAGGACCCATTTTTGGGCACAAAGCAGGCAATAAGGGGTACAATAACGTCATTCCAGGACACAGAACTACAGAAAAGTTAAGATGCTAGATTTTTTAGATTAAATTTTTTGTAGAGAAGGCAAGGTACATACTTTATTTTAAATCATGTGCTGAATTTCTTCGCAGTCATCCCCATGCTCTTCCACTTGTTTTAACTAGCCATGAAGCCAGGTGATGATATCGGGTAGGAGATTTTAACTAACTCAGCTACATGGAGGAAAGATAATACTCTAAAGACTTGATGAAGATTAATAGGAACAGTGAGAATTTACTGTTGCTAATCAGTTCTTTAGGCTGGTGAGATGTGGGCGTTCTGTGAAGATGGCGAGGAACTCTGGAACAAGTTGCCCAGAGAAGCTGTGCATGTCCCATCCCTGGAAGTGTTCATGACCAGGTTGGATGGGGCACTGAGCAACCTGGTTTAGTGAAAGTTGTCCCTGACCATGGTGGGGGATTTAGAACTAGATAATCTTTAAGGCCCCCTTTCAACCTAAACCATTTTATGGTTCCATGAAACAGCTCTCATGATCTATGAAAATTAAAGTGATCTGTGTAACAGCTAGTGGATCTGACAATACAGTGATTCGTAATCTCTAATGTTTTGGGAATGACATGCTTGGCCCTGCTGCCTATAGGGAGTTTCAATGCAGTGATTTTTTTTTAATATTTTTTTAATTTACAAATGAAAGTTAAAATGTTTTAGAATTTGCATATTATAATTTCAAGTATATGGTATTTTTTATTTAAGTCTATATGCATGTACAGTTATATAGCATCTGTTTAAATAGCAAGGAATTTGTTTGCAACTGAAGTTAAAGAAAAAACCAGGGGATTCATCAGAGTTAGTTTCCTATATTCCTCATCTTCTGTTTAGAAAAGTTGTACATCATGTGATATGTAATCACATGGTGTAATTATGACGTTCTGGAGTGCTTCATAAGCACTTACTTATATTGCTGTTAGGATTCTGGTATTAAGATGTACCTTGACACATGGTGATATGTCTGCTAATGTTTTCAGTTTTATCTGACCTCTCTGGAAGTGAAGTGTCCTCACTTAGGTGCAGTATGATGGTATTCTTGAAAGGAGTTACTGAATGTATCCAAGTGTATATGTGGATGAAGGACATTTTTGTAGAATCCTCTGATGCCAAGTGCATTATGCCTATATGCTGTGACTAGTATTTACTATTACTATTCTGGTTAAATATATTCCCATGATTTTGATTGTATTTATGCGGGGGAGAGAGGTGAAATCTGAAGGAAAACTGTTTCTCTGGGAGTTGTTTCTTAGAGGAGCAGCAATACCATTAATTTAATGATAAAACTGACAATGAAGGTCTGTGACAATGAAGAGGTCACAACAGATATCCAACAGTGTTTGCGGGATGATAATATCCTATAAAGGTAATGTGAAGGTGTTAGTAATAATGGACAAACACGCAGAAGTTTCATGAGGTTAGCGAAGTCATGCGTATTTTGGCAGTAGAAAATGTGGTCCATCTAATTAAAATGGGAAGCAGGGAGACTTTGCTATTAGAAAGATCTCAAACGGTGATGACGATGAACTATTTTCTGTTTTGGTGTACCTTGCCTTTTTACCCCATTAGGGGCTATTGATCTATGTGCTTCTCTTCTAGTGCTGAGCTTAAGTGTGCTGCATTCTGATGCTATAGCCAGAGAGAGTATGAAGCATTACAGAATATCTGATTAGATATATCTTATTCCTACACTGTCTGCATTTTATCATGCTGAAAATACCAAGCCAGGTAGCGGTTGTATATTACAGATCAGATGAAATTATTATATTAAGTGGTGTATTTTGAAATGCAGTCCTTACATTGGACTTTCTGAGAAATGCAGCTGTATTTTGGACAGGTGTAAAAGCACCTTAAGCAAATTAAGCATTGCCAAATAATAACTTGGAATTACTTCTGGAAGCCAACACGTACCAGGTAGTTCAGCTTTGCATTTAGAATTTGAACAATAGTAAAAATCAGAATAAGTTGTTTTTATTTATTTTTAAAGGAATTTAATTTGACGTTTGTGATGAGACCTATTCAAAAGCAGAGGCCAAGTTCAGTTTTGGAGTTATTTGGTTAAAACCAACCACTCAAACAAACTGTAGTAAATATATTGTGGCTTTTTTGTGAGGATACCATTTCTGTCCACCATTTCATTTCAGCTGGACGGAAGATATTAGTTTCTTCTTTCTTTGTATTGAAGTACCAAGTTTATATGTTACCACTCTTCTTTTCCCATAGGAGTTTTTTCTTGGTGACTCTGCCAGCATTTAGGAATGAAACGTATGTTTTTGCCATCACTAGTCATAAAATTTTGCTGGGCAAATGCAGCTCTATTTTTCAAGAATACTGGAACTTCTACTACTGGACTTTTGTTTTTTAACTTGGTCAAGTTAAACCTTTTGGTTAGTAAAGTTGACATGAAAAAGCTTGTAATTTTTCCTTTTTTGAGGGGGAGGGGGGGATGTTCCCTTTTGAGAGGAGAGAATGCATTGTTTCACAGATATCTTGGTTTCCCCTGTATGAAGGTGAGGATAACCTGTTTTGACTTCCTCCCTAGTGTATTGATTTTTGTGAGCAATTGTGAAGCAAACATCATATGTGGTATGAGCAGAAGACAGCAGATAGGGCCAGGCAGAAGAAAAGGACAGACCTAATCATACCATGAAAGTGTGTTATCTTTTTTCAGGAGAGCAATTTAAATTAATCATAACAAATGAGTAGAAACTTCATTAATGTGTGTTGTTCCTTCAGGTGCTATTAAAAAAATTAGTAAATATCTAAAAGATATTTAGTATATCAATTTACCAATATTCTGGAACTTGTTTTTTGTAATTCATATCAGCTTTTATGTCCAAATATTTTTTTTAGTATACCTTGCTTGGACTGTGGCCACCATGCTTAGTAGAGCTAAGTCCTTGGAGCCAGCAGATTTGTTGAAAGCAAAGTTGCCAATTTAACACACATATTTTAAAGTATGAGTCTTCCTCTGAAAATAACATCTGAGTACATCATGATTAGCTCATTAGACCCTTTTCAGATATCAAATGTGGCAGCTCTATTTTTGCCTTCTGTTTTTTCCTTAAACTTGTCACACTATACTGAAACATTGAATGAAAGCAGAGGAAAGCCATCATCTTCCAATCTTCTTGCTCAGGGATTTGAGTGTCTGAGAAAGGGGAGCACAGGTGGGGTTGTTCCAGTTAGCCAGGTGTGGGTGGTCTCCACCTTAGGAGAGCCTTGGAGAAGGATTGACTCATGTAGCCACATCTTAGGGTTGTTTTTTTTTTAAAGAAATTAGTCTTTAAGGAGGTGATTTAGGAGGATATTTAAGGACAGAAACTGGAACACTCAGGAAATACCAGTAAAAAGTGACTTTTACATATATACATGTGTATATGTCCATATATATATATATATATACACGCACACACACACACACACACACATATATATATATATGTACACACACATAAACAAATGATAATGGGTTCTGAAAAGACTGCTTAAATAAATTCATGTCCTGTAAGCATCCAAATGTAAGGCAGATAGGGTTAGCCTGAATCATCCTTGAATCTTGAAGTTATCCTGAGGAAAAAGGATACTATTATTTTAAAGTCACTTACTCCAGTTGTTGATAATACAGAGCCTTTAATTTAGTAGTATTCTAAACAGTTGGAACACCAGAACAGTATGCTTTTGTTTCCCGTTTTAAGAGGTGAAAAAGTTCAGAGCTGTCTTAATCTAAATTAAGATTAATCTAATTAAGTCTTAACAGCCTTTTTAGCTGTTCTCCATTTTGGAAAGTTCAAACTGCTGCTGCTTTCTACATTCTATTCTGACAATTCCAAAGTGCTCCTCCAAAACAATGGAAATCATATTTTTTTCTGAATTTATTGCAAAGGTAATAATTTTTTTTAAACTCTTTCTGTCCTCATAATGTTGCAGATTTTTTTTTAAAAAAATCTGTATCATAATTATAAGAATTGTGTGGAACTTCATAATTGTCCTATAGAATATACTCTTTATAGATGGTATTTTCACATAAAAAGGCAGAGATGCGGGTGTTCAGGATACTGCTAAGTTCAATTTCTTAGTTTTCATGCATTAAAATATAATTTTCAATATTTCACTGCTGTAGTTTTTGCGAGGTTTTTTAATTTTTTTTATATATGCAGAAACTTTCAGTGATATAAAAATTCATTGCTTTATTTTGTTGTCAAAGGAATAGTAGTGGAAAGATCAGCAAAACTAATCCATGTGTCATTTTGCAGCAGGACACCCAATAAAGATGTAAATAATGTGTTTTGCAGCTCTTTCTAGAATGTCACTTAGACTTTTTCTGACCCTCCACTATGCTGTGTCGATTGATGATAACTTGGATTTCAATCACTGGTGTTAAGGCAGATGCTGGGAAGAAAGAATCTGTTGGTTACAAGTATAAGTTCAAATCTGGGCAACAGGAATTAATGATGTTTATCACCAGGTGATTTTACAAAAACCATTGTCATACTGAAGGCATAAGTTCAGTGTTTTTGTGAACTTGTATAGTTAAGGGATGTATCAAGGCAATGTTTTACATGGCACATACTAAAAAGCCCTCATTAATTGTTGTATGTGAATAGAATCTGCAAAGCTGTACCTGAGCATCTAACCTTGTTGCACTTATGAGACATCCTCTGTTGTGCCATGGATGAGGACTGAGATGAATTAGGTATGTTAGGGGATTCATTATTAATTCAGGTTCCTATGAAGTTAATTTGAAGCAACTTTAGTTTTTTCAGTAACCAAAGAAGTATGCAGAACATGTGAGAATCCATACAAATAACTATTAATTAAATTTGTTGCGGAAATAGGAAGTTCATGCATGGTTTTTATTTTATTTTATTTTATTTTAATTTCTCTTTTTTGGGCATGTGTGAAGGTTACCACAGCACTGCTGCACACCTTTGGAGTGATTTGGAGAATCAGAGGAGAAGATGTGCTATATACACACAAGTATTAGGGCAATGTGCTTCTTGCATGTAGATTGAGTGTAGTCCAGCTGTGAGGTTCTCTTCAGTCTTCAGCTCTTTTTTTCCTCTCCTACTTGCTCAAAACTTAATTTTTCTTTCATGTCAAATTACATCTTAAAAATGGCGAGAGTTACTGAATTCAAGATTACAGTTTTGATTCTTACAAGAACTTGGATATGAATCTGGATGTGAAACCTTGCAGGCTACTCAGGAGGGAGTGTATGTTACTGACACTAATCTAGGTGTAACGTCTTATGTTTCAAAAAGGTTTAATATGTCTGCCGGCAACAATCTGATTTTCATTTTTTGTCTTCTCGAAATGTATGCAGTTATTACTGTGTGACTGGTATTTTTCGCTTTGCTCTACAAAGAGAAGATATTAATGAACCAAAGCATCAGTATAAAGCACTTCTCTCCCATGGCTTTATAGTGTTTTAAAGTATTTATTTCAACTTGTAAACCTCAAGTCCACCACTTGCTAGAGGATTAAGAAGTACAGATTCATGGCCATTTCTTGCATTATTCTACTATAGGTAGAATATTCTTTTGGTTCTCAATGCCAGATAAAATGGAAATGATAACCATTTTACTCAAGGGAATTTTAATGGCTTTTATTTAAAATTGACTTGAAATGTGGTCTATGAATACCATGGACTGGACCTTTGTATACATACACATGACCTGTATACTTACTAGTGACAAAACAAATTGAACTGAATCTCTGTGGAATAACTGACTTCTCATTTGAGCATACTTTAGTGATTTTGATTGCATTATTTTCTTTGTTAAGCTCTGCTCTCTAAAAGACTGTGTATGTTCTGGGTGTTCGATGGCATAGCAAACCCAGGGGTGATCACCCAGTTTGGGGAAAGTGTGGTGTAGAAGCACCTACTCCATTCTTCATTTTTTTCCTCATGGCATACAACTACAGCCCTTAGAAGTTTTTTCCCCACGCTTTTTCTTAATGTAGCCCAGTGTGACTAATACATGCAACAGGTGGTTTTGGAACAAACAGGTTTTCAGTCACTGAGACTTCTTGGTCTGCTTGTCTTAGTAGCTCAGTTGTATTACGCATGCTCAAATGCTACGTGGTATTTCAGACATTATCTAATTTTTCCCTTTTATCCTAGAGCTCTTTTTAGTGACAGCACTGCAGTGTGTTTTTCAGTTGAAAATCTTTTATCACACTAAAAGTTCTTGTGAGGGAGCCCCTGTGCTTTTACTGGGAATACTTTATAGATGTATTTGCCTTTTAGTATCATGGTTGTACATAGTACACAGTATTGGTGTAAGCTAGATGCCTCTGTAAACTTAGAGATTTTAAGAGTTTGAAAAACGTATAATAATGGCAGGTTTTAAGTTCATGCATAACTTACAAAGCCAGTATTAAAATCAGTATGAATTTTTCTCATGCTCTAACTACCGTTTTCTAGAAGATATTACTCTTAGAAGGCTGAAATGCAGGTTTGCAGATGGTTTGTGAAATAGATGTATAAAGATAATGAAGAATGTAAATGTCTTTGCCTACATATGCCCACATGTTATCAGAAATTTGGACTTCTTTATCTCCTAGGAATATACTTGCTTTATAATCTTCAGAACATATTTCTGAAGAAGGTAGGACCATTTCTTAACCTGATAATTACATAATGAAAATTATTTTCTGGGTAATTAGTTTTGTCAGACAGGACTAGGTCATCAGTTGATGTTAAGAAATACTGACTTATTTTTATGTCATTGGGCATCTGGCATTAGAAGAAACTAGTGGATAAAAATTTGCAGAATTAATGGAATACTGTTTATATTAGGAGTGGGATAACATTCAAATGTTTTGGAGGAGCCTGTTCCAACATTGCTTCTCAATTGCTTATTGCTTCACTTAACAGAGCAGTCTGTTAAGTTATGAAAATATTGTTGTGTCAGGATACAATTTTGGGGCATACCAGCTACAGGCTAATTAATTGAGAATGTTGTAGAGATGATTTGTTTGTCATATCATACTGGTCACTGAAATCACAACTAATTTCTGAGTTGCATTTTGTTGCCTGCACCGAGTGCCTATGTGTGATTACATATGTATGTGTTTATGTAATGGGGGTAAAAACCTGCTGAACAATGGCATAATGAGAACTTCTCAATCCTAGGAAAAAGGCTTGAAAGGTTTGAAAATTAGGTATGAATGAAAAATTGAAAGTTCAATACTTTTTTCCAAAAATCGCAGTTCTAAGTCAAATAAAAATACTGAATTTTAAACATCAACTGCAGTGATGATACAAAAAAACTCATTTAAAGATGCGGTAAAGTTAGTTTGTAAATAATATTTAAATACTTTGTTTTAAGTAAAGTAAAATAAAAATGCATGGACTAAACTGTACAAATTATGCTTTCTTTTGCTAGCATGGCTTTCTTTGTGTGAAAGCTGTTGGTAACATGATGATAAATGAATAATGAAAGGTAGCAGGTTTAAGAAAGCATATTATTCACAAGCCCTGCTTTACATGTTGATGCATTCTAGAGCATGATGATACGGTTTCCAAATGGTTACAAAGAGGAATTTTTTCTCTCACAGCATCCTGTATGCTTAATGTTTTTTTAAAAATTGTCTGATTCTTGTCCAACTTGAGTAAAAATACTATGTGTTATTACACCTCTTATCACTGCTATTTTTTTCTCACATTAAATTGAATTGGACTTGCATGTTCATTTTTAGCTTTCCCTTCATGCACACATTTTTCTGAGTTAATGTTTCATATTTATTTTCATTTTTCTATTAATTTCTTCCTCTTCAGGTGCAATCTAGCTCCTGTGGTGGAGTTTGCTGCCGATGTGGGAACTAAATCTGATTTTATTACCATGAACCCATCAGTTGTACAAAGAGCATTTGGAGGCTTTCGGAATGAGAGTGACAGAGAAAAATTTGTGCGTAGACTATCTATGCTGAATGACAGTGTCCTTTGGATTCCAGCTTTCATGGTCAAAGGTGGAGAGAAGCATGTGGAGTGGGTTAATGCATTAATCCTTAAGAATAAACTGAAAGTGCGAACCGCCTATCCATCACTGAGACTCATTCATGCTGTCAGAGGGTAAGTGTACGGAAAAGACTGGTCTGTCCTCAGCACAATGAAACTCATAACTAGAATTCCTAGCAGGCAGAAAAAAAAAGATGAGTGTCGAAAGGAGCATAGTGGTGTTCCCCTTATTGATATAATGGGTTGCATTTATGACAAGTTTGTTTCAGTGGAAGTGCTACATGTCTTCTTTGGGAAACAACTGTGAAGATAAAAAATACAATCTCTAAATAGCATCAGGGGTAAGAAAGCAACCCTGTAAGTAATGAAGCCTGGCACCAATAATGAAAGTACTGAGCTCTTTCATAAAATATCTAGGATTTGGAGCAATCTTTCTCCTTTTGTATTTGTCCAGATGCTTGAACAATTCATAAATATTGACTAGAATCACTGAAAATGTTAATGAAACCATTTACTAGAAAAAAGATATATCCATGTTTTGAGAAAATACTTTTCCTTTTAACCCCATAATTAAACAAAACTGTCAGCTGAAGGATCCAATGTATTTGTCACAACTGTATACTACAAGTATATTGAGCTATGCCTGAAAATTATTCCAAAGATGATGGTGCTGCAATGTGTTTGTACATCCAATTATGACAATATGATAACATTCAGCTTGAGTTCCTTGAAATGTGCTGTTTGTGGGGTTTAGGGAGATACCTTCAAGTGCTTCTGTTGGCTTGTACACCAGTTACTGATTATGTTGCTGTTCCTACTGTTACAGCAGCAGTGACAAGTTTAGAAAGAATGTTTGAACCATTATCCCAATGCAATACAAGAATAAAGCTTTGACATAAATTGTTCAGCATATTCTGCCATGTCTCATAGATTTCACTGCTGCATTCCCTCTGTGGTGCACTTCTGGCACTGGAAAAAAATAATCTATTGCCTTGGAAATTAGGAAATCCTTCAGAAAACCTTTACTTTTTTACTGAGTTACTCAGTTTCAGTAGACATTTAGACTTTTGCTATTTATGGGCCATGATTGTGTTGAATTTTGGAATATTCAAAATGCCTGTGGGTTTGAATGTGTATATAAACCTGATATTGCTTCCAGTTTACAAGCAACAATTTTAATTTCCAGCTGCTAAATCTGGGCAAAATTATCAAATGTGAATGACAATTCAGAATGTGCAGTTTTTAAGCTGGCCAATTTGAAGGTCCTTCAGGGGGCTTTGTCTTAAAAATATTACTACTACCTACATAGTCTTTCTAAACAAAGCAGCAAAAGCTCTGCCATCTGAATTGTTGAAAATTTGGATTGAGCTGTATTTTAGATTATACCTAGCCATCTATGTGGCTTATGTCATCTGATACGTGGATTCATCCAGTTGTTGAATCTGGAGTTTAAACTCCACAGTAAATTTAAATAGATACCAAGAGTTCTTTGGTTTAGTGAAACTAAAATTTTATTAAAATATGGAAGTATGGTGAATTTTGGGCCAAATCATTTAATATCTAATAATTACTATATTAATATGGTTCGTGATTCCAGCCTGACATATTTAATGCAGGTAGAGAACATCTTGTGCTGAAGGGTGCAGGTTCAAGATTGGGAAAGTATTGTCTGTATTCCTTTCTATATGTATCAAACTGTAAAATTTTCTTCATTAGTCTTTAGAGCATGTGGTGTTAGGCACTTTCTAGGGGCAGAACATAAAGTTCCTTAGACTTCTGATCTCATGTGGCCAAATTCTTTATTTCTAATGCAGTATCAAGTTATGTTAGAGTTTTATCTAGTAACAGGTCATTTTGGCTAGAATCACAGCACTGCACTGAAATTCTCACTCCTGTTCTTCCTTCTCTTTTAATAAAAGAAACTTTATGAGCAGTATATAGCATTCCAGAGTTGCTGTTGATAAGATAGTTTCTATTGGTCAAATTGCTGCATTCTGAGATAATCTTGAAAGCTTTTTTTTCTGTTTGTTACACACTTTTGGGGGTAAAAAAAAGGTAATGTGGTATTGGAAAAAGAAACAACTGTTTTGCTGGTTTCGTGCTTTATAAAACTGCTGTGAGTAATGGATGCTCTTCTGTAATCTCAGAATTTTAGGTTGTAAAACCAGATTATATACATGCAAAGTCCAGCACGACAACTGCTTTTTAAGTCAGTAGTATCATAAATCCCCATTGTAGTCAGATTTTTTTTCTTCGGTAGATTTAGATCAAGTAGTTACCTGTGATAATTTTTCTCTATTTTGCTTTTTCATTTCTTGATCATTAAGTTTTGAGTATGAGATTTTGAAAGTGTTTTGGGAGAGGTTGCATGAGTTTTTCCCAAAGTGTCTCTAAAAGCTAATTTATGGAATTTTTAATGTCACTGTGCACATATTGACAAAATAAATGAGGCAATCAATACATGGTAGAGTTCAAGGTGGAACTAAGATCTTTAAATTAACATCTTAACTGATTAAAAACATTTACTTGCTTTCTAATGTCACTGTCAAAAAGATTAATTACAAAGTAATTACAATGAACAAACCACATAACTTTTTTTTATTTACTTCAATGACTAATTTCAGAAACTATTTTTTTATTAAGAAGGCTGAGATTTAATGCTGAACTATTTCATTAGGATTATTTGTAGTACTATTTTCCAAATGCAGTTATACTCTCTGAGGTGTGGAAAGTGTCTTAGAGGGACTTGTCTCAGTAGCAGAGCTGTAATTGAGTGTGGATGAAACAGTAGACAAAAACAGGAACTGAGCCAGCTGGGATTAGAGTCCAGATTATATTGTTTACTTCTAGTCGTGGCAGACAACCAAACTCAGAAGTAGGATCAGCAGGATGTTCTGCTGTGGATCCTGCCTTGAGGGTCTGTGGTGGGATTAGAACGGGTTCCTGAGACTAAACATCTAGTTGGTGCATTAAGTGAAGGTCAGTTAACTCCCAGGGCCTTGCACAGCTCTATGTTTTTTGTGCTTCTGCTGGTGAATATTAGAAGATATCTGTTGAAGTGGCTGAGCACCACCACCCCCTTGCCCTGACAAGCAATACAGATTTAAAATACACTAGTTTTCTGAGAAGGTTTTTTCTTGTATTTCCTCTCCTAAATCCATGAAACAAAGTTCTCACGCTCATCTTGATGTGTAAGAATGTTTTCTTGGCTGCTCTTCCAACTGGAGCAATCCAGTAGGAAACTGTATATTTTGAACTATTAGTCACTCAGCAGCAATATCACTTAAATTGCTTCACATTAGATTCCTTCCCATCTTTTGGATATGGAACAATTGTGGGGACATCCTGTGGGATTTGCCAGTGCTCTGCGTATTTCCTTCTTGATCCTGCCTGTGAAAAAGCAGTATTATCCTGCATTAAATGTAGCAAAACTCCCACTGAAATCTCTTGAGTTTTGCCTATGCAGGGAGCATGCTGTGCCTATTTATGGTTACTTCCCAGTGCAGGGTCTTTTTTTTCCTTTATAAGTGAAAGCAAACAGCTGTTCTTTGGATGGTAGTGACCTTTACCACACAACTTTACCATGCATCTTCAGAGTTCTTTACTCTGGGAGTTACAGAAAAAATACTTTAAGAAACTGAAACATGCAGAAATCAAGTAGTTCTTCAGTAGCTCTGAGAAACAAGTACTGTGGGTAATCTATGTTGCCAACACTTGTGTTTATTTTCTTTCTGCTAACAGACTTCCCGTTTCAGTTTACTGCTAATATGTATTTATTAAGAAAAGGTGTTTTAGAATGCGTGGATGAATAAATCACCTGAGAAAAAAAAATGGCCATTATGCTAAAAGTAGAATTCTAAATATAAAATGACTGTGTCTTTTGCATCATGTATATAAATATTTAAAATACTGGGAAAAAATTCACACTAGCTACTTTTCAGTGCAGTACATTCCTGTTTTTTACGTAAGTGGATGTTAAAAATAAGAGGTTTACATTATAGTACCTTATGCCCTAGCATAGGGTATCCTTGGCTTTGTTTAATTTATACAAACTAATGGGAAGCCAGTTAGTTTGATTTTAAGGACCTAATCTATTGTGTGAAATTGTTTGTCTAATCCCAATATCCTGTCCTATGCAGGGAGCAGGAAGTGTTTTTGTTCTTGAAGTGGAGACACTCCAGGGTTGACTTTTCAGTCTAGCTGAAACTAGCAGCTTCTTGCCAGAGCTGCAGCACCCCAACATCTCTTAAGAATATGCCCTAATACAGTTTAAAGTTTCACAGGATGAGCTTTTATTTTCTTTACACAAGTTGTCCTATTTTATCACATTTCTGAAAGATTTAGCAAGGTCTGTCAAGAGATATCTCATTTTATAAGAGAGAGTTTTCATTGGAGGCAAGCACAGTTGAAGCAGAGAACATGAAAGCAGAACTGACAGTGCACTAAACTGCTTTTTTATATTTTTTTACTCCATGGTCCATTCCGCCAGGTAAGCCAAGATAAGTTTATCATGATAATAGGGATATTTTTATCCATTTTTTTTTTACACTTACTTGCCTTTTGACAATAAACTTCTGTAGGTTTTTTGTTTTGGGAGAACTGTTTCATCTCTTACTAAGGCAAATGTTTTACCCCTTATCAGCAATGTTTATGAACCTAGCACTTGTAAAACTTACTCTTCCCAGATTGAACTTCAAGTTTCAACTAGTGGAGAGCAGCAGTATTAGTCATAAGAAAAAATAGGAATGAAATTTTCCATTTTCAGGTTCTCTTGCTTAGATTGTCTACCATGAGCAATGTCACTCTATCTAATGCTAATAACTCCTAGGACCTAATCAGGGAGTGATACATAATTTATTCATACAGTTTATTTGCAAATTTGTATTTATTTAAAAACTATTTTAGTACTTACTATGATTTTTTTTTAATTTGTTTTTCCCTTACATAAAACCTGAGTTTCTGCAAATCATGAGAATGTGTTACAAATCCCATACTCCTGTAAAAAAATCTGTAGCTGTGCAAGTGAGAAGCAAACTAGAAACATTTTTTGTTGTCTGTTTTTGATTAACCACTAACAGGACTGGAATCCACAGAAAGCGCTGCTGGCCATATAG